CGATGATTCCTAATTAATTTAGGGGATAATTCTTGATTGATTTGGTTATCAGTATTTATGTTCTAAAGACAATCTTCATTCTCCTTAAATTGATCCCATAATTTATGATGATTGAATTGTTATTATGTTATTTATGTTATTTCTAATTTAAGGGGATCGTTATTGATTTTTTTTAGTCGACTACAATTTCAATGCATATGTTACGGCAATAGAAATAATTACAATGCATTAATATTGATTAACTCTTCCCAAAATTACTGAACTTGATTTGTCCCGTCCATTAACTCGTTCTATTTTTAAATTTTTAACTAATATTCAAAGGACCTCTATTGCAATTGTTGTAAATATTTTTTTATGCCCACCAATAGGAAAATGACACATAGGATTTTTTCCTATGTGTCAACGGGAGGAGAAATTTGATTCCCTCTCTCTGGTTTCTCTCTTAGTATAATACTATAGATTTTCTAATTCTATTTATTATTTTCACTAATTCTATTTCTATTCTTTTTAAATATATATCAAATAATTATAAAAAAAGTAGTATCGGAAAAAAAAAACTATTAAACATCGCTTTTTTTTTTACAAGATCAAGCAGTGGAGTAAGTAAATGTTAATGGAGGGATTAGGACAACTAGGTATTCTGTAACACTTTCATTTTACACTCTTTGCTTCAGTTATTTATTTTAAATCATATAATTTTTGTTAATACATATACCGTAAACATATATTTTCATATTACTCTTTTATTTTTCTGTATCAATGTTATATTTTTTAATGAATTTTGACTGTTTTTATTGAATTATTAAATATGAAAATTTGAAATAGTTAAGTATTAATTCAAAAAAAGTAAACCCTTGATTCTAAAACATATACCTTTGAAAGTGAGTGTAAATGATGTAAATATTAACATAAACGACAACATATGTAGTAATTAAAAAATCAAAACAATAAATTTAAGTGATACTTTTGTGTTAATTTTCATGTAATATTAATGAAAAATTACTTAATATGTCTAATCACTAATTTAATTGAATTAAATCACCTTTTTTAATGTTTAAATATTTATTTGTAATATGTACAACATTAACTATATTTTTTTTTTTAATTTCACTAATCTCTTATTCTTATACTAGTTATTTTCACATTTTTTTACTATACAGTTCCAACTTCCAATACAATTTTTTTATATAACTTTTTTATTGCAAAATTGGTCAATTATTTTAGAACAAAATCAGTATATCCCAAATCCCCAATAACTTCACCAAAATGGATTTCTCTATCAATATTTACTAAAATAAGTAGATATTATGGGTGTATGAGGGAGAAATCTTTGTTGCTATTGTTTGTGCCGAAAAAATCTTCCTAAATCGTAAATTCTCTAAAATATACAAAATCAAGCGATTGTGGATGAGTTCAAAAACCGGCCTCAGACTTAGAATCGAGGACTTAGGGTTAATTTTGGTTTAATATTAGTAAGAAAAAGATATAGAGAAAGAGTGAGACAAGCCAAAGAGTGGTGGTCGTATATCCATTAAAATGGAAAAAAAGAGATAGATAGCGCCGACTAGCTATAGAGAACGTCGATAATGCGCTATTACAAGAAGAATCGAATTCACTGAAGTAGATAACGATGAACGACTACTTATTTCTATGAAGAAAAATAGGCAAAAAACTATTTAGGCTAGGTTACACTAAAAAAACATATAAAAATACATGAAAGAAAAGACGAAAAATAAAGAAAAACCAATGATATCGTTGATGATGAATTGAGGTGGTTTTTGATGATACTCAGCTTTGATTAAATAGAGAAATAATCCTGTTGTTGTTGATTCGTTTCCTTGAACTGAAATACTTGCTCCGTGAAAGTAGAGATTTGGACGAAGTAGTGTAGTCACCTTCCACTTGCAAAACAAACTAAAATCCTTTTTCCCTTTTGATTAAGTTGATCAACCGAGGATGTCTCCAAATAAGCCAAAATGGGCTCTAATTTTTTATTCCTTTTCTGGAGAAAAAATAGCCATCATTGTTTGGCAAATTCCATCCACCGTGAAGCCACCAGAAATTGTAATCAACTACACATAAATAAATAAATTGCCAATGAAGCCAACTCCTTTTTAGCAAAAGTAATCTCAATCCGAATGTGAATTTGATTACTCACAAGCCGTCTAAAAATTAATTCAAATCCTGTTGAGGATAAAATTAGCTCCAAAAATGATCTCTAAAATATAAAAAGCAAACTAAACGGGACCACAATTATTTATTCTTCTCCGTTTTGAACATAATATTAAGGAACCACGCCTCTTTGGTCGAAGGCCAAATTGGCATGTCAAAAATACCCAAATTCATTTTGGGGTCCAACATCTATTTATTTATTTTTTATTTTTTATTTGTTCTAATGGAGCTAGTGAGTACGATGTGGGGGAATTTTATAATTGGGTGGAGATGCAATTGTTTTGATTGGCCTTTGATGGGAATGATCCGACGGTGGAGAAACATAAGATAGATTTCTTACATTTTGTTTCGCTTGAAGTAGTAATCTCTGCAATTGGAATTTACTAGAACCATCACAAATTGACAATGGTCTCTGGACTGGTGGAGAACTGGACTGATGGAATCCTTTTTTCTAAAAAAAGCACTACTTTTTTAGGTTCACTATATATAAAACTAGTATGAATCCCGCGCTTTGCGCGGGTTCGTCAATGTTAAAAATTTATCTTTCAAAATAATTAATTAGATAATATAGTTATTAATATTTCTTTAAACCGTAAAATTTTTTTGATTAATCAATTTTAGATCAAAATGAGAGGTATTGATATTATTTATGAGATATATATTTGTAAGATCTAGCCAAAAATATTACAACAAAAATTTTGAAAAATTGTATAATAAAAATTGTCACCACTAACTAATGTTATGTTTAGATTAAAAAATATATTAAAAAATACGTAAATTATGTCTAGATGCCTATGGCATATTTATAGGCAAGGGGACTTTGGGGATTAGACACAATTAATCGTCCTTGAAAATGTAAAATCGATAAAATTGAAGACAAAGTAGCACATAAATAGAACTTTAAGGGCTAAAATGATAATAAGTTAAAAGTGATGCTTGATGGTCTCAATTAGCGACACGTGTCGATTATCTTTCTTTCCTTTAATATATATAATAATGATTACTCAATTTTATTATTTATTACCGCCATCTCAATTCTTTAATCTATTTTTCGCATTTTTTGGGGGATATATTTACACTTTTAATGTTTTGATGATAGTTCGAAAATATTGTTTCAACTGATATAATTTGAGTTACGTAGGTTCTTCTTGGAGTTAAGGTTCTCATAACAATTTTAAAAGTTAATTTAACGGATACAGTAACATATAAATTTTTTTTAATTAAAAAGAGATTAATAGACCATTATAAATATGTTAACAACTACTCTACGTCTGCTCATATATACTCTCTAGTAGTACTAATTATAAAACACAAATTTAAACAAATTTTAGTATTAAATTATGTTTTATAATTAGGACCGAATAAAATATTATTTTTCAGTATAGTTTTTCTCTACTTTTCTTATCCTAACCCAGGGTTACTATTCTTTATTACATTTATTTATTTATTTTCATGCTTCAATGCATCTACTAATAACTAATCTTTTCTAGACAGTGTACTGTGTTTGGATGAGATGGTTGGTTAAAAAAAATTAAAAATTATTTCATACGGAACACATAATTTATACACCCGACTTGGTTTAAAGATAAACGAAACACACAACTATGATTACTTCATAGTAATCTGTGATAATATATCGCTCTTATATTATCTAATTTGAATTTTTATTTTAGTTCGAAATATGTTAAAGCTAAAAATTCAAACTAAGTAATAATTTTATGACAGAAAGAGTAATTAATGAGAATGATTGATAAAAATAAATTCAACGGAGATATTTTTTTGAAAATGGTACTTGTAATATTCATTATAAGTACCTCTTTTATTACATCGACAAGTATTATACTATACTATGTATGTCGTTAATTTATAATCTACTAATTTTGACTCATTGACATAAATCAGAAGGAATTATTAATTCAATGAAGATATGAATTAACCTATCTCATGATCTCATCAATCGTTCTATTCTATTCTAAAGTTCTGTATCCATGCGTGTGATGTACTGTTGATATGTGAAGATAGAAGATAATTCTTGGTCTTTTCTTCTTTTCTTTTCTTTGTTTCGTTTTTTTTTTTTTTTGGGAACTTTTTTTTCCCCTACAATGTCTCAAATTGTATTATCCACGTAATGTTCCAACCACTAATATTTTTTCTCCCATGTCATGGACTAGATAATCATCTAAATAAATTCTTTAACAAATAATCTTCTATTAATTTTTTTTTCTTTTTTTTTTCAACAATGACTAATCCCCAATCCCCTCTCTGAATTATAGGTATCTCAATGGATGAGATAACTGACCAAAGTATTTAAAGTTGCTTCATGCCTATGGCGAGGTTCAAACTCTCGAACTATGGTTGAGGATGGAGGAGTTCTTCCACTCCACCACAATCACTTTGGTTTTTTTTGTTTTTTTCTCTGTAAAATGGTTTACTCGTTTGTTGCCCACAAAGTCCAATGTCCAATCATTTGCTCAAAAGTTTGCTTGTTTGACTTGAATCCAAGTACAATAAGTCAAATTGATACTTGACATCGCTTAAAGTCAGTGACCTCGTCAACTATGTATGCATTTGCTAACACATGCCCAAATGGGGATGGCAAATGGTCAAAATCATGGGAATAAAGGTCCATTTCCAATCCAATCCAATCCAAAATTTGTTACATCTAATTCTTAATTTGATTTTTCCAATATTTTTTTTTGATCAAAATGGCAAAAAATAACCAGGTACAAATGCATTTTTAAAGTACAAAAAATATTGTAATTTTTTATGCAGTACAATAAACGAGACAATTATTTTGAGACGAGTATAAAAAAGCGAAAATATGTTATGGAGAATACAATTTGATGTATTATTGTTCAAGACTTCAAGGGATTGACAAGATAAATACACCATCTGGTCGTGCAACAGTTCATTTCTTGATCTTACCCTTAAGGAAATATATACAAGAATACATACAGAAACACAACCTTGTGAAACATACATATCAAGGAACTTTCATATAGAAGTTGAAATGTACTTCAAACTACCTGGCTTTCCTGTGATTCGTCTTCATTGACAACCTGAGAGAAATCAAGACTAGTATAAGTCCGGATTCCGGGGCCATGTCCATTGCAATCTGTGGCACGCCCTTGCTGTGCCCGGCGCACTTCCTTTTGATGTTCAGTTAACTCAGATTTTCTTCTCTTGAAATTAAGATGCACCTCATCTTCCTCCTGCAAATTACTCCTTGTATGCTCCTCAAGTTCAACTCTTTTCGAACAGCGATTCAGCGTTGCATACACTCTCGGAGCTGTAATGCTGGTCATTGTAGAAGAGCCCTTTCCGTTGGTTGCAAGGTTTGTTTTGCAGATGTTTACTTTTCCATCCTTGTAGAGCTTGTCTAAGATTGATAGCAAGTTTTGGGGGTGATCTACCTGTGTTTGTCTACCATATGTGGAGTTCCAAAAGTTGATGGTACTTGCCGAGATGGTGAAGTTCCAGTGATCAAGAGTTTTTTCAAGAAGAGGTGCATGAAACTTGAGGAAAGGAGAATCGAACTTTATTGGTGGCTGACTCCTTCGCAAACTGTTCAAGACTTCAGTCCATATTCGTGGAAGATGGCAGGCAATCATCTCATCTTTAATATCATCAACTGATAACCATTCAAGCAAAGACCTTTCCATAGTCTGAAAAGAAACAGAAATCGAAAGAATAAGAATACTGAATATCCTGCATGAATAGCGGAGATGTGTTCCATAGCAAAAACAATCAAAGGATATATATATCAGCTCCATCAGTTTACAACTTGGAAGTTTCCATGTTCAGGTTGATTCATGATATCAGGATGATGAACACTGGTTTCATGTCCAAAAAATTTCTTTGTAGAGATTAAGAGCTTGATATATAGTGAATAGTACAACAAGAAGAAAAGAAAAGAAAAAACACAAACCTCTATAAAGGCAATGATATCTCCCTTGAATTCCAGGCTGCCAACTAGTTGGATCAGTGCCAAGAACAGCCTAAAACTTCTATGATCAGAAAACCATTTCAATTCGAATAAATAAAAGAACTTAAATACAAATTTATCATAAACTACCTTATGCGTAAAGGCTGAATCATTGAAGCAGTAGTTTCTTCCTTGGCCAAAGCCACCTCCAGGAAACTGTAGATGAAAGAAAGTGATATTTTTAGTTTTAACCAAAAGACAATGCTGAGAACATGCTACGCTTTTCTTTTCAGTTTTATAAGTAAAGTGCAAGCATTGCACCAGGAGAGATTATAATGCAGTGACATTCCATTAGCGAATAAGAGCTGATATTTGTTGGTAGAATTCAGGCAATTCGACTAGATTTCCATCCATATGGACCCCCGCGTAAATAAATTTCAAAAAGAAGAAAGAGAAATCTTTCATCTGGTTAATGGACAAGACATCCATGTCATATTAAGCTGGATACTAAATCCAAGAAATCTAAAACTTTTCCAGCATTCAAATTGTCCACATAATTTGCTTACCTGGAAGAGAGTTTCACATAATTTCTGATACTGCTGGATATCTCATTATTGTCGTCCCTTATTTTATTTCTTCTGAAGCTTACTCTCAAAATCAGTTGTTCCAGAATGCAAACATTAATGTTTCCAATGAACACTAACAAGTGTGCATTCTGCTTGTTGTCCCCTTTTTGAGCCCCAGCTCCACTGCCAGTCGTGTTTGTGACATGATCAAGATATCCATTCAATGCTGAAGAGATATCTTCAGCAAAATTCTGTAGAAGGGAACCCGGTAGATGGATTTCATGATTAACAGAAGCATATAGCAGTTTCCAAACTTCCAGAACATTTTGAAGGTCAATGTTAAACTGTCCAATGGTGTGCAAGCATAAGGAGAAAGGGTACATCAGGAGATGCAATAATATAGGATACCCGGGATTTTTTGATCCCATAATGAGTAATGAGGAGTGGGTTTTATCATCTGTATAATCTTTAAGACAAATGGCTAGGGTTCTCCAGATGGCCAAACAATCTAGAGGCTCATACTTCAACAGCAAACCAACAAAAAGGTCAAGACTTCCCAAAGTGTCATAGGAACATAAGCAAAACTTCATGTGTCCGTACAACCTGTCAGTTACAGCATTCAAGTCTGCACCTTCAGATGTCAGCTTCATAGCCACTGAGAAAAAGAGTACATTCAAGTATACAATGGGAGGAACAATGTCCATGTAGGAGATACACCTTATCCCTGTAGAAGATGAATATCTAAATGCACCATTGGGGTCTAACTTATCTAAGCACTTGAGATCAAGTACCATTTTGTACAGAGATGACCCCAATATTGAGGCATCTACTTCCCCAGCAACCATCTCCAAAAGGTGAATGGAAGCATTGGGTGAATCAGCAATGTTACCATCTCTCGAAGACTCATTTTCACATACTTCCTTCAAGAACCTGAAAACTGTATTAATACACAGCATTATCTCGTCGTAACTTGTTGCAGTGGCTGTGACAAAGCATTGCACTGCTTTCAGAAGAGATCTAAATAGCTTTAAAGCAGAATCCTGTGCCAGCTTTCTGAATTGTGGGTGGACAGTAGCATTTGACGTTTGGTTGATGATGCTGCGAATCATTCTTATAAAAAAATCAAGCTGATTTAGATTCCACGCAGACCATTTAATTGCACGATGGCTCCACGAGCTTTTGTGAGATACCAAATGCCCAACCACTGCGGTTTTCTCTGACAATTTACTATTCTTATGATCACGACGGCCACCGTTTGCATGCGAAATTCCTGCAGAAGTGAAAGCATCTAGCAGATCCAAGCAAGTGCTCCATAACAAGGCATCCCTACGAGGTCCAACTTGGATAACAACTCTAAAGAGAGGCTCCAAAATATATTTCATCACTAAATCACTGCTGATAGAGGTGTCAACTTTTTGAAGGAGATAAGACCACGTATTGAGGCAGGTCACATGAACAGACATATCACATTTTTTAGACATGATCTCTATCAAGGGTCTCATTATAAGCTTTATCTTTCTCAGAAACTTATGTGCTTCAATCTGACAGCTGTTACCTTCAGATAATGTAATATGTTCTTTACTAGGTGTTGAAACTAAGGCACTCATAGAAGCTTGAACTGGAAACGGAACTGATGCATCAATCATAGATTCCCAGGCAGCCTGCAAATATAAAACACTTCTGCAATGAATTCCATAAATACCCTTTTTGGGGAAAAAGGAAGACGATGCACATGTGAAGAGCCATGATTTTCAAATTTTATTCTGTATGTTGAAACAACTTTGTCCTAAAATTCAAAGTGAAAGCAGTTGAAATTATGATAAGAAGTCTCTTTATCTCCCATCATAATAATGTTATACATCCCTATGATAATCTTCCATCATAATAATGTTATACATCCCTATGATAATTTAAGCTCAATGCATATATGATGGCATCCCTTTAAATATTGAAGATGTTCGAGGAATAATAAAAGGGACGATTTATTTCTGCCATCCATTCCTTGCACCATATGCCGTTATAATATCCAGAATGAACAAAGATCACCGTGTCTGTAATAATAAAGGGGTTATCTAGGGTGTCTTCTTTTTAAGGTAGACAGGCTAAGAAAGGTATACCAGTGCAGCAATTTGAACTTGTGGGTCAATATCAGCAAATGCCTGCTCAGCAATTTTCAGCATTTCATTTGATAAATGTTTGCTTTTCATTGCATTAGGTCCAAGCAAATGGATGAACCATCCCCAAGCTTTGATAGGCTGAATCTTCATGCCAGTATTGAATAACTCTAACATTGAGGAAATCAAATTGTTCTTCATATCTAGAAGAAGTGCCTGTTCAAGAATGGAAGAGCAACCAAAGTTTCAGTCTCCTTGGAGATTGAATTTTCGCAAAGCTAGTCAAGGTAGGAAGTGTAATGACTTAACAGTCAGAGACTAAAAACATCTGATAATTGAGTACAAAACTTTAATACAACAAAAAACAAGGGAGCGTGAAAGAGCTGCATTACTGAGTGTGAAAGAGGAAAGGTAAAAAAACAGTGCAAACAGAATCTATGTAAGATAAACAAAAGTTCCAACCTTACCTTTGATAGGGATATTGGAGCAGGAGATAATAAAACCTTAATCTTTGGCAAAAATTTCTCAGTCATTTCTCTGTCTCGATTATCGACACTAACAAGTCTTTTATAAATTGGTGGAGCCCAGAGATTTGATATTTCCCTCATCTTTTCGCCCCATAATGTTAATAACTTCATCAAAGCCTGCCATAGTAGAAATCACTAGCATAAGGTTATGAAAACCAACTAAGCCTTTATCCCATAGTGGGGTTATCGTCTACAAAAGATCATATTTCGCCCAGGAATTCTGCCTATATCTTTTCTCATACAATCCATATCAAGTGACAAGACAATTTTTTGCTGCTATAAACCCAACAAAGTCCTTTTTTTATATATGCACTAAGTGTAAGATGATGAGAAATTTTATAATATCCAGGCCACAGAATGCAATACGAGCTTAAACATCACACGAAAAATCTAAGGTAAACCTCAATTCTGAAAACATTCATGTACATTGTGCAACACCAGGGGTTACAGGTTACAGTGCTCAAACCATCAGAAACTTCTCAATCTACTCGGACAACTCCAAGCTAGAGAATTTCAAGTTAACATTCTCATAGTATACAAGGGTGACAGTTCAATATCAATCAAGTAAACTAGTGCATATTAAGTGAATAGTAAGTCCCATTTAATGCACAGAAGACAAGTTTGTGTCAGAAAACTTTACAAATCATGAAATCCATCTTAACCAAAAAAACTCAATAGAATCAAGTCTTCCAGCATACCTGCATCGCCTCAAATGTAATCGCAAGCGATCCAATGGGGTTGTCTAGGGCATGAACAACTGCCTTCAACAAAATACGGAAATGCGCATCCAACATAGCTGCACTGAATTGTTGAACTGATATGCACCACACTGCAAGTTTACAAATGGACTGCAACCAGAAAAAAAGATCTCAATCAAGCTATATAATTAAATCGGACTCAATTAAAACCCTAAACTATTGCTTTGGGAGGGAAAAAAACAATTTTTATACCGAATAAAACGAAAGTTACCTTCACCCTGGTATTCGTAATGACCTCGACAAGCGAATTAACAACCATTGCAGCATTATCGCCTGCATTACTCAATTAGCAGAAAATCAAGCTAAAAGTGGAATATTTATGCTATTTACAGAAGGAATACTTAACACCATTACCATGAACCCAAGGAGAAATTCGTCGGAGTTTACCTGTGATTTTGGCGACAACCGATGGATGGTAAAGTATAGATCCCAAACACTTCAACGCGTGAGAACCACTACAAAGAACATGAAAATGAGCCTTAAAGGAAACCCAAAAAAAAAAAAAAAATTAAATTGACAAAATCTTTTAAATAAAAACTCAAAAGAAGCTTACATTTCTGCGTCATCATGAAATATGCCAGGAACAAGTGAAGAAACAAGAACATTAGCTGAATCCCCAAGTAATTCTGTCGAGCAAGAGCTGTTGTTTGCTGTAGCGAGTTCATAGAGAGCTTGGAATGCGCTGATTTTGTTAGAATTTTCCGCATCCGAGGAAGATACCAGAATCTCTTTAATTTCCTCTAATTGTTCTCTGAATTTCTCCATTTTGATTTTGGTTTCAGGGTAATAATTTGGTGAGTTTATATAACCCTAAATTTACAAATAGGACGAGCGTTTGGCGCCAAAATTTCAGACTGCGAAGGACGGGGATGCAATTTTTCTTAAATTCACAACATTGTCCCTCGAAAGTGAATCTATTTTCAAATCAGCTCCTTTCTTATTACTCAAATTACATACCGATACATTAATCGAAATGACTTTCGCTATTGTAATATTGTATTAAAAACTTGCAGGGAAAAAATATCCCATCCCAATTATCGTTTTAAATCATGTAAGAATAGGTAAATCAAAGGATAATAGTGATGAAAAAGAACGGAGAAAATCGCATATCAAAATTTAGATTATGCCAGTAGACATAAAACTGAAGCTGTATATGCCGGATACAACTTCCTTTGATATGTTTGCATAGAGGTTGTTACGGATATGAATGCGCATAGGGTATTGTTTTTCTGGTCTTGATCGCAAACAACACCACCAACATTTCACAGAGCACATCGTCGCGTCGGGTTTGATTGGATCGGTATAGAACGGAGAAGACACATGATGATCGTCATCTGTTGGATTAGTAGTTTGTGGCCTTTGTTGTTTAAAATTTGTATTCCATTAATCCTTTGTACGGATGAATAAAGATGCACTGTAAGTTTCAAGTTATAATCAGTCCCCTTTGTAAGTGTAGAGATGGTTGTGAGTAAGTGTAAAACTCAGAAATGATGGACCCAGTCTGATCTGTACTTGAGCATATTCTCATGCTTCTCAAGTCCTTGCAAAACTACATCTTTTCTGTACCCTATGAGTTAATTCCTATACTTAACAAAGTTTCCTATCTAGAATTCAGTTCATGTCTCTTGGTTCTTCATCTTCATTTTCCAATGGCAGGGATAAAAGCGCTTCTTCCAGTTCCATGTCAAAGTCCTCATTACACTCATTGCCGTCTTGCTCATTGATGTTTTCATAACCTTCCTGTCTCATAAGATCTCCATCATCAATAGAGTTGCCATTACGCTTTTGCTGCTTAGAAGGTCGGTTTCCTTCTTGCTCAGATGATGGTTGATTGATACCAGTTTGCTTATAGAACAACTCCTTCTCAGCGTTCCAATCTCCAGCAGTCTTCTCCACCACATCTCCGATCAACTGTGTGTTCTCAGTGGCGAGCTTAATATTTCCAACATCTATCACTTCACCAGCCTCTGCAAAAAAAGAATACATCACATATTTGCTATACATTGAAAAATAAAAGTATATATAAAAAAAAAAGAACATAGAAATAAAGGGAACAGGAGAAACTATTAAGCACTGCAACACAGTAAATAAGGAGACACAATGTCGATGACATTCGATAAGAAAGAAAGAGAAACATGAGATTTCCAACTAAGCCAATTTGATTATCTGATCCACATCATTAAGAAATTAGAGCATAAGAAAAATAAAAATTAAAAAAGAGGAAAAAAATGAGAGAAAGGCTTGAGCACTATTGAAATAAACACGAAGATACCTCTGATGGCAAGTTCCTTTGCAGCTGCATAACTTGATGATTTTCGCTTGAGCAAATCAACATCAAGTTCAATTCCCTGGATCAAATTAAAAAAACATTAAGTACACATCCGAGAATACATGTCACATGCATAGAAGATCCAAAGATCCAATGACAGACATAAAAAACTTACCAAGTCCATGTGGATAAAATCTTCAATTTGAGTATTCGCAAATAACCTGCAAGTTTAAAGTGTTAACAGGCAAGCCAAAGAAAGTTAAGCAAGAAAATTTTAGGAGGAAACAACCATATCTATTGCTGATCTGAACTAGATACAATAAAGCTTTAGAAAATATATACACATACTTCTTGTAGGCAACTTGGACACGAGCATTTTGCACAGCTGTCAGTTCATTTAACTTCTCTGTCGAACCATCTATTGAATCCACAGATCCAAAAAGGAACATGTTCCTCTGCAGCATATGTTTGACCAACCTGCAGACAACTCCTATATCTTGTTGTTTCGCATCTACAGTAAGGTTCTTGAGCCTCTTCAGTTCTCCTATTAAAAGAAAAATGCACATGGTTATTTTGCGATAGAAGTATGCAAGATTTTATTTGGCTGCACAATTGCTCCAATAACACTAGAATGTATGAATCTAATCTGCAGTTCATGTCAGAGAAGAGAAAAGGCATGAACACGTTAATCAGCATTATATAGCCACCTTAACAAAAAATCAGGGTGAAAAAGGTCGCCACCTGAATAGGGAGGCAACCCATCTCAGCCCCTGTAGATGAACATTTTGACAGTCAGCAAAAGACTTAGATTCTAGCTTTTCTTCTGCAGAAAACTACCCACAAGGATGCACAAAATGACACAGGATTCACATAGAGTAAAGTAAGAAGTGGATTTTAATCGAATTGGCATTGTTAACACTAAAGCTGTTGAATTTAATGTTCACTAACAAACGAATGTAAAATATTTGATAATAACACGTTCCCTAAAAGAATATAGCAATTTTGATGAATACCATGTTCACAAAAAGAAATGGATTGGCTGCATACCAAGAGACAAATATATCTTGAATGGAGGCTTGAATGGTTGAGTCTCGAAAAGGCAGTAAAGGCAATAAAGTCCACCCAGCCTACGTGAAATTGAACCTTCAGCTACCATGTAACCTACACACAGAACAAGCCAATAAGTAGAAGTCCTACGATATATCATTTTTCTTCTAAGAGGATTGTCAGTTTAAGAGAAACACCATGCATTTAAGCATGGTTATGCTTAAAACTCAACAGAACCCCCATCTATTAATATCTGATAAGACCACTCATGATCATAGAGACAAACCAAACATCAAAAGCAATCAATCCTGAGAGGCTATTCCCAGGTTATTTGAAACAGAACTCAACGTTGCAAGTGAAGTAATCTCACAACATTCAATAAGAGACATCAGAGGACAACAATGCGATGGCAGGAAAGGATAAAAAGGCACTTTGATAAATCATACCAATGGAGTGGGCAAAGAGAGACTGCATGAAGCAAGCCTGGTTTGTGGTAGGACTAGCCTCAAAGATGAAAGAGAACTTTCTTGACACCCATATCTTCTTCAATTCAGCTAATTTAGTGAACCCAAACTGAAAATTTTTTGGATTGTTATTTGCGTCTGCTACAAAAAGAACATCAAATGATTCACCAGCTCAGAATAAAACAAAGGGCGAGAAAACTACCTCCGCAAACTCGTTGATTAACTCATCAATGTCCAGCTTGAATGGCGTGAAGTCCATCAGAATTTTACTCCAATTTGGGCTTATTTATATGGAAGACAACACCCCTAAAAATTCAGAAAATAGAGAATAGTTATTTATTGAAGATTAAAAGGGGAAAGGGCATATGGAAAAATGCTGTTAAACTATTAGAGCAAGATAAGCAGTCACTCTTCAGAAACAAACTCTAATTTGGGTTTGATCAATTGATTCGCCGGATAATAGGTCTTACTAGTAATTACATTGTTGGGTGTACTCAATATGCAGAACAGCCAAGTAGGTAAGCTTATGTGCCAATTCAAGAGCATAGCATACTAATTACTAAAAACAAACAGTCCAAAGACTTTGAGTGGAACTCAACAACAATGACCATAAGAAACCAGAATGACGAAAATGTTTCCTCAGTGGCCAATTGCAAAGGAAAGAAGAAACTAAAAGATTATCAACTCTTTAATTAAGAATTATGATTCATGAAAAGCTTCCAATTTTAAGGAAAGCAAAAGGGTCGCAGACCACTTCCTCCCAGCTGTACAAAACCTCCTCCTTAATCAATTAGGATTTAGGAACGGGATGGAGCCATACCTGAGTTTTCGGAGAGAATCTGTCTGTTGCCAGCTTTTGCGGTGACTTCGATGGTGGAGAAAAAGCAACGACGGCAATGAATGCAAGAGCTACCAGTAGAAACGACGGAGAGGCAGAGAGGTGGCGGCGGCGCGAAACGACGAAGGGCGGGAACAAGAAAGGTAGGGGAGTTCTTTTCTTCTTTCCAGACTTGGAAATCTTCTTTTGAGAGCAGTAGTAACTGAAGCCAATTAGTATGACACACAGAATCATCCAACACGTGTAATTTATTATTGTACTGTTTTAGTCAAAATTTCTTTTTTTTTTAATTGACAAAAAATTAATAAATGTTTCATTCTAACATAGGTACTATTTCTTTTTTCCTTTTTTTTTTGAATAAACATAGGTACTACTTTATTATATTCCAATACATCTTTCTTCAATTCTAAAAATACAAATTGAAAATAGGATCCAAAAATAATTTTTGTGAGAAAAAAGATAATTTTTTTTTTGGTCAAATAATATACTTCATCCGTCTCAATGAAAAATTCAAACTGAACAATAATTTTGTGATAGAGAGAGTACAAAATTAACGTTCAAATAGCCAAACCTTCGTCCAATTTCTCAAACATACAAGGGCCTCCAATGTCTTGGGGGCTTCAACCATCATTTATAACTATTTGTGCAGATTGGAATCGACAACGACTACAAGATATCGGGTGCCATTTTTGAAAGAGTTGGGTATTTCATTCTGTTCAGTTTCTTCCATTCCAATCTTATTATATATTAAAGAAATTTTTTTCACAAGACACGTATAATTCAATTAGAACATTAATAATTTTTGTGTACACGTATCATTTTCTAATTCGTGGAGAAATTTTTATAGTATACATGTCATCTTTTAATTCGTGGATTTTTTTACTGCACCTTATATATGTGTAATTTATAAAAGTAAAATGGTAATCTCAAGGTAATCTCCGGCTAATATTCGGACACGGCGACTGAATTTATCCGGGCATGGCATTGAAGACTTTGACGGCGTTGATGGATAATCTCCGGATAATCTCTGGCTAATCTCCGGATAACAAGGGTTAAGGATGGAGACTTTTGATAAATTTGCTTCGTGTTGATGCCGAGTTCTTCGAGGAGCGGCGCTTTGTCTTCGAATCTGATTCCTCCGCCGCTGATTGTGTCCGGGCGAACTGAAAAGGTAGCGTTCTCTTTGACGGGGTGATTCCGGTTGGTATCCCAATCCCAATGCATTTAAATCTTCATTCTTGTGAACACCGGCCCTCAGGCCAAAGGTAGAAAAGATGGAAGAAAGGCCCGCGGCTTTTCATTGAAGCTTGTTTTTGATGTTTCACACTCTAGCAGTCGGCGCCTTTGAAAAGAAGAAAGGGCAACCCTAATAATATTTTTTTTTATTTGCAATGGTAACTTTTATAAATTAGTAAAACTGCAAAAGGATAATGATTCACAATGATTTTAATCCCTATGATTAAAATACACATTGGTTTTAATAAATTTAAAATTTTTTGGCCCAAAAGATTGCTACAAATAAATTTTGAATAGAAATCATGTAAATATTATCTTCATCGGATATTCATTTCACTTCCAAAATCTTCCCCACTTTTTTCTCACTAAATCACCACAAAAAAGGAAAAAAATCAATAAAAGTTATTATCACTTTTAATTGCTGACTAAAAGTTAATCCTAATCCATCAATCATGCGCTGCTCCTCTATCCTAAAACCCTAATTGAATGAATTATGAACACTATAAATCCATCTCATTTTCGGCCAAACAAAACAAACAAGCCGCTCAAATGCTTCCTTTTATCTCGCACGGATTTCTGCCAAATAATCTTCACTATGTTTGCCGCCTATTGTCGTTCGCCTTCGCATTTATCCCTAGAGTGAGTGGTTGAATTATTTATTTATTTTTCTAATTTCACCCGTTGATTTATTGGAGCTTTTCATGTATTTTAATTTTTTGTTTTACATTTTGTGGTGATCATCGCAGAAATCTATTGATGAATTTGATCATTTTCTAAGGTGGTTGCTGGTGCAGACGGTAGAGATTTTAATAGTGAGTATCGTGTTGATGTTGTTAAACCCTAATGATAACGTTGATGCTGCGAAGCAATGGAGAGAATGGTACCGGGACCTCCTCCATGAAGTATCGAGTTTTTCCTCTAATCCGTCTCACTTTTGGATTAGACAAAAATTTTGGAAAACGATGGATACATATCCTCTCTACATTTCCTTACAGACGACAAATTTGAGACACTTTGGTTTTTTCTTTTTTGATTCCTTCATCAATTTTGCATTTTGCAATATCATTATTCATTTTATTTTTTCTCAATTTGTTTCAGGATTTATGAATGCAATGAAAGTGTGTTGGTTTGTTATGCAATTTTTTCTTTTTAATCTGACCAAAACAACCTTGCATGCTGGCAGTCTTTTCATAGTTAATGTTTAAGAGGAAGAGGGCAGTTTGGTTAATGTTTATGGGGAGAACAAGAGACCTAATTCTGGAGGCGGGTATCAAAGGATGAGGAGGATTGGTGGCGAGCCAGAGCATGTGGATTTTATGATCGTTCTGGTTCAAGCAGTGGTCACCCCAATTCCAGTGGATAAAAGTATATATTCACCTGTTGATTGTTTTAATAATCTTTTTTTTTTTTGTTTCAATCGTTCTTTGTTTTCCCCTTACTAATTGAGCACAATGGTTCCTGGTGATCAGATCTGTTTTGGTGCAACCATGTTCAATTCAAGATCATTCCTTCCCCTGTGAAATTGGTATCCCTTATGCTTTGTGTTTATGTTTCAATTTGGTAGTAGAATATTCTTCATTTTTTTCTAGAATTTAAAGTTCACTTGTGATATTCTACTTTTTCTCCTGTTGTTCACTTGTATTGTTCAGGTTTGATTGTTGCCGCCTTTGCACCTTGGAGTCCATGTTGATTTGATAATTGATTTTCTGTATCTTATTTATATCTACAACAATATTCAAACATTGGCGCTAGGGTTCAAGTACCATTTTGGAGAGCAATTTAATTAACACAATATTTGATGTACCATTTGAAAATGTCTTTCGGTGGTTTATATTGGAAAAATGTCTTTTGATGCTTTATATTTTTAGTACTTTTGATCTGGTTGGGCTAAAAGTATTGTCTATTGTTTCTATAGATTCTTTATATTTCAAGAGGAAAAGAATAACTGGATGCCTTGTGGTTAGTGAATGTCTGAGTTCATTAAACATTACTGCATCTAGAGGAATGATTCTTTGCGGAGAAGGTTTTTTGGAATTTTACATGGATCAAATATTATGGACATATGGTTGGAACGCCACTCATTTTCACTAATCCCATTGTAGAAATGTGTCATGAAAACTAACTCGAAGGTCACATAAAAATGTTTCAATTATATTGTACAATTTTTTCTTATAGATCTTTCGGTGGTTTAAACGGATTTTTTTGCTTCTTTCGTTCTTTTTTTTTTTTTTGGTTTTTTTTCCCATACATATCATGATATCCATGTGATAATAATGATATTGTGAGGAATATGAATCCATTGTTATTAGCCAGGCAGTTTAGATTTGTATAGTGATGGAAAGGAAGAATCGATTACTCAAAAAATAGTTTATATTTTTAGTATAAATTTTAAATTCAAAGTAAACTTTTTTTTTTGGGTGACAAAGGAAGTATTATTTATGAGAAATGATAAATTTCTGTTAGCTGGGTTCTTTGCAAGGGATAACCAGACCAAAAGGAGCCATGTTGACGTTATGTCATGAAAATCGCTTAATATTGTATCTTGACATAAATTTCAAGCATTTACAGAGGGTCCGTCATCCTAGGCATCTATTTCATTTCCATCAAATTGAGTAATACCATACTTAAGGATCTTTTAGTTAAGAAGAAACTGAAATCTATTATGCAGTATAAAATAAACCGAATTGATGGCTTCAATATATTGAAAAGAAAGCCTTGTCAAAATCAATAAAATAAAAAGCCTTCCAAATGTCATAAGTTAATTAAGAATACATCTTGAATTTTGTACAAATATGAGATATGCTTTTTATTGCTCTCGAATCATTTCATTTGTCATTTGTGTCATTTTGATGCCCTTTGAATATCTTTCATAATTACTCCAAATCCAGGGAAAAAGTTTTTTTTTTGTTAAACTATTTTAATACCATAATTTCTTATGGACGGAAGTAGTTGTTCAAATTTGTGGTGAATACATTTTACCAATTGAAATTTTAACTACTCTCATAGCGCAAACCAAAATTATCTCAATTAATTACTTATTTTGTAATTTGGGGAAAATTTCGAATACATAAAGTATTTATCTTAATTTATGTAATAAATCTTACTATATATTAAAGGATTTTTTTTTCACTAGACACATGTAACTTAATTAGGTCATTGAGAATTTTCAATTACACATGTCACATTCTCATTCGTAGAGAATTTTATGTAATCCATATGTCATCTTTTAATTCGGGGATTTTTTTACTGGGTATTTTATACTGGTTATTTTAAACACTGTAAAATGATTATTTTCCAAAAGAAATAACTTTTTTCGAAGATCGTTGATTGATGCCAACAATCTCCGAAACATCAAATTGACCGGAATGAAATGATTATCCTTTTCCCCAATCTTCGTACAATTATCCTTCCTTTGGAGTCCTCACCGAGAAGGCATTCATGTTGTTCTTCCTTGACCCGATAACCCGTGGAGCCGGAGACGAGACTGTTGTTTGGATTCTGATAAGCCATTGAAGCTGTTATTCCCTGACCCGATAAGCCGTGACGTTGGAGACAAGACTATTGTTCAGATTTCGATACTAGCAGAAATGATTATAGTTGTGATGGCTTCGATTAAGCACGTCCAAATCCTTCACCGGTTGACTTTATTCTCCTTCATCGGCTGACTGTATCTTGCGAATCTTTGGGTGTAGATGATGAATCGCACTCCTTCAAAATTCCATCATTCCATCAACGGCAGCCAAAATTTCCGCAAATTTTCAATTTCACATGCGGCCAAGATTGGACGAAACAATAATACCAAATTATTTCCAAATTTACATTTCATTTAGGCTACTGTGTGAATTAATTCATGATCCTTTGCTCATTGAATCGCGGAGGGCTGATAGATACTGTTGTTACCGTAAAAAGGAATTTTCAAAAGTTAATTCCGTCCTCTGTGAAATCAGCGATGAAAATGGAGATTATATTCCCATATTTTGCGTTATTGAATTAACGGAATTTTAGGATAGATTAGGTTTAATTTTAGAACTCTCTACATCCTCTCTTTTTCTTTTTTTTTTCTATAACTACTCTCAGATTCCCCCTTTCTTTTGTTTGATTTAAGTTTAAATTTTGATTTGTTCTATCCAAATTCAAAAGGATGATGGCTTTCGATAATCACTCCCACAAGAACGCAATTTTTCATATGCTCAAGACTAAATCAGATAATAAGGTGTACCTTTTTCAAATCCTACATGAACTACTTTTATTTCTCATGTGCTCTCTGGTGGGTTTTGGCTCGATTCATGGTTGAATTTTATTGGGAGTCCTGAGATCTAATTTAGATAAGTGGTTTGAACTGTAGATTTTCCGTTTTCATTCCGATGAGTAATTTTTTTTTTGGTCACTTTTTTTTTTGTTCCCTGGCAGATGTATTTCGCTTACAACGCTAAAGAATTCGACCAGCTTGAGACGGCCATATTTGTATCCATGCATCAGTTACAACTCAATAATTTTCCTGCTTCCTTTTAGTCTTTTTTCTTTATTTTTTTCTTGGGTATTAATATTCAATTTCTGTTCGTTGTTTTTCTTGGTGTTGAGATATAAGTTCATTTAAGAATGTGGGATCTAAACGATTCATCAGATCAGAGAAGAGATGATCAACCTAAATGGTGCTCTTTAATTTAATGGGATGATGACAACAAAAGAAGAGGATTGTTGTCATTCTATTTAATCTGCCGTCGTTATCGAGTATTGTTCAGAGCGAGAATCTGGTGATGATCGAGGGCTAATTGAGAGTATGGAAATGCAAATAATTTACCTCATTTTACTCCACATTTCACTCTAAAGTTGAATACATTCCTCAATTTGCTCGATTTTTGTTTCTGAATAATATTTCTTTGGTAACTGTTAACAGCCACCTTTCTGCACATTTTTTGTAAATTGTTTGCCTAGGTAACATTTAACTTTAAATTTAGTTGTTTTGCAACCATGTATTTTCTTATGAGGTTTTGAGGATTGCCTTCGTTAACAAAAAAATGGACCAAAGGCGGCTATCAAAATAATGTGAATAAGGTGGCTGCTCAAGCTAAATCCTTGCCTCTGCACTACAGTTTGCAAGATCACGATTCAGGATCGTAGAATCGCACGATCCTACGATTATGGGTCACTAAATTGATCCTGGATCAATTAGGATCGATCTTTCAGTGGAATCGGAACTAGAGTTGGTGGGATCGTTTGATTCTATCGGTTCCACAGATTTTGGAGCAATTGCTCAAATTCAAACCAAAATTAAAAAAAAAAAAGAACGACAACACATATTGTGAAACTCGAAGAAATTGAACTCCAAGAAAAGATTATGGCATACAAGGAGCAAAATCAGACTCTTAAAGAGGTGGATTGGTTATTGGTACCATCGATTCACGGTACTTTTTTAACCCGTTACTTCAGTTCGTGATGCTACAAATAAATTCACTTTTTTGGATTTTTATAGGAGGATATGTCGCTCAAAAAATAGAGAGAAACAGAGGATAGAGAGATTGTTTTCAAAGATTTCCTGTTTCCATGGCTCTGTTCTTGTGGCTGCAGCGTTTATTGATGCTCTGTTTTGGAAAAAAAAAACTGCTCTGTTTTGAAAAATACAGTTGGAGAAGAAAGAGTTGTCACTTTGACTGAGAGCATCAATTTTTTTTATTAATAAATTTTTTGATTAGTTTTTATGTGTGATCATAATTCTTAAACCATCTCGGGTGAGGATTCTTGATTTAAATTTTAAAAGGATGGAGAATTTATTTTTAACACTTCTTATATGACTTATTCGTCATTAAATTTAGTCATTTATAATTTATAATAATGCTTAGACATTAAATTATTTTATAAAGATAACTAAAACCTAATTCTTAAAGTAACATAGTAGTAATTTGAGCATATTTAGGTAGTCATTTGGTATATTGCTGTGTAGAAATGTCTACAAAGAGAATACTTTTGTAATTTATTGTACATAACATATATAAATATAAAATTGATTTTGGAAAATTCTACAATCTTACTATTTCGATCCTAGCGATCCCATTTACGATCCGATCTTGTGACCTCATTTCGATCCTGCGTAGGATCACGATCCTGCAAACATTTTGAATACTGAAAATATATATTGCCTAACTAAATTTGATCACTCTTATTTTTCACTTTATTTCAGTTGAGGTCCCTTTTCTTTTCTTTCTGTTTTCTGCTTTCATTACATTCTCGATATATTTTTTGAGATAATGTTAATGTTTTTGTTTTCATACATTTTCTTTATGTTTTTTCATTACTTTCTCGGCATAGAAAGCTGGATGATTCAATCAACTTATTATATCATGACCCTCTTATCGTCGGCGTTGCTCCGAATATCATTCATTTGTCGGCAACTTAATAAGTTAACATACCAAAGACTAAGAACCTTTTAAGTAGGAGGATGCAGAGTGCCATGCTATTAACGATGAAAATATCGATCGAATGAGACCTTCCGTTTTTTTAGTTTAACGGACTGTCAGAAATAAATAGCAAACTTTTATTTTTAGATCCAATTTCAATTATTATTATTTAATTTATTTTTCTTTTTTATTGCGTGGTTTTACGTCTTATGAATTAAATTAGATTAAATTTTTTAATGTATTTTTTTCCATGTGTTGTTATTGGCAACACGTCCATCAACCAAAACCATTGCAAGTTTTTAACATATTAAAGACTTAGAACATTTTAAACCGGAATATACAAAGTAACATAGTATTAAAAGTGAAAATAAATATGGATTAACAGTTGGTTCTTCTTTTTTGTTTCCTTCTTTTTTTGATTTAACGAGGCGTCAAAAATACTAAAATAGCAGACAAAACTATTACAATTTTTTAACCTGCTAAAGACTCGGAACCTTTTAAGTGAGATAACGCAAAAAGACATGTGGTTAAGGATAAAAATGAAGATGGAATGAGACCCACCGGTTCTTTTTCTTTTTTGGGTTCAACGAGCTTGTTATAAATACTAAAATAGCAGCTAAAACCATTGTATATTTTTAACCTACAGAAAACACGAAATCTTTAAGGAGGACAATACAGAGTTACATAGCCACAATCATTGCATGTTTTTAACCTACTAAAGACTCAAAACTTTTTAAGAAGGATGTTGCAGAGTATTATACTGTTAAAGATGAAAATGATTATGGAATCATTCTTTTTCTTTTTCTTTCTTCTTCTTTTGTTTGTTCAACATGCCGCCAAAAACACTAAAATATCAGTCAATACCATTACATATTTTTAACCTACTAAAGACTCATACTTTTTTAAATAAGACATGTAGATCGACATGCTGATAAAGATGAAAATGGAGATGGAATGAGACCCATCAGAAAGTGGCCCTTTCATAATTAGATGACATTCCTGAAAAATATATAATTCCTGATATGTTACTTTTAGAAGTATTGTTTTTTTTTCAATACATTTTTTAATAATGGCACAAATGCTTTGAATTTTTGTATATACCCTTAATTTTTTCCGTTTTATCTTATTTATAAACAAAACTAATATTTCTTATACACCTTCATTTTCTTTTTCTTATCTGTTGAAATTATATAGTCATATTTAGCGTTAAAAAAATAAGATAATTTAATTCTAATTTGCTCACCATGCACCGCACGGGTACAACACTAGTTAACAAAGAAAAGAAATGCAAAGTATTTGAAAGAGCTAATTAATGCCCAAACAACTAAATGGTGTATTCTTCACCAAATATGATCACCACTGTCTTCACAATATCTGTAACTACTAGTCAGAGGGAAAGTTAAGTACAATGTGGGAAAGAGATGTCTCTTTATAATTCAACTCAAACAAATTTTAGTGATAACCCAACATCCAACAAAATTTGGAAAACATCGGGTACTATATTCAAAGAAACACAAAGAACTTCATTCCTTAACGGATTGAGCGTACTCTGTAACCTAACCTGAAGAATCTACTCAAAAAATCTTTTCCTGTATCAAATAATATTCTACCCTCACATACACCGACAAAGTTTTTCCTTCCTTAAAATTTTCTTACAATTCTGTGCCTTGTCCACATGCTTTAAACGAGCTATAAACAGCAGCAAAGTGGAAAGAATCATTTTTTTAGTATAACATTGGGATTGCTTAACAGATACCGATTCCATTTTCTTTACTAGTATCAACATAAAACTTGCAGTTTACGGATAATGTTGTCAATCTACACTTCTGAAGGGTAAACAAAAGGTAATATAAATCGAACCAGTTTCTATTCAAGGTTATAATAAGCCTGTAGTCACGTAACCGTGTGTTATGAAGGCATCAGACGCTTCTCTTCCTCCTCTAGTCTCTTCAACCATCTAAACCCTAGGTCGCATCCGGCTTTAGCAGCTATTTCAAATTGCTTTCTAGCCATCTCAATGGGATTAAGCTCCAAGAGTTCCTCTTTCTTGTTTCGGTGTCTAATCAAGCTCCTCTTCTTCATCTCTAATCTTGTAAGTGATTCTGGAGCTTCAACACCTTCAATAGGAAAGATCATTGATTAATTCCATATAGAATTTGAGAAAATGATTCGACAAATCTTTTTAAACAAAATGGACAAAAGAATTCACCATGTACAACCTTGCCAAACAAAATGATTGGGAAAATCAACATACTACATCATACCAATTGTTAAATCACCTACACAATCACTTTTCTTTTGACAAGTCAAAGGCCGCCACTAAGGATCTAAGAGAAACCCATTTTCTAATCCCTTACTTAAACTACACAAAAAGCATCCATTCCCCTGAGTATAAAGGAAAGGCCAAAAGTCATGCTTGATTAAGCAATTATTGCATGAAGGTATAGTTTACATTACCTCTAAGAAGAAGGGATCCATAGGCAATGGCAGCCCCTGCATGACCCTGCAGAAAAGCTATCAGCAAAGTTTCTTTCAAAAACAAAAGAACAATTTTAGGTAAACTGTTTTTCTCAATGGAAATTTAATGTTCTTGGAAAGAATTTTTTGTTTTCCATGGTTGCGAATTACAAGCTGCACAAGACACAAAACACAAAGGAAAAGTGATTACCCTCTCAGATGCCCTATGGAAACACCATAAAGCTGATGCAAGATCTTTCTTCACACAATCTCCTGTCAAGTAAACAGCGCCTAAGAGGTAAAGAGCACCCGGATGCATCTACAGATATAGTCAGCTCTGATTAAGATTCTTGGTACATCTTAACAAGACATAAAGTATTATAGGTAAAGAGAAAATATGAGGAAATCACACTTGGTCGACTGCCTGCTCTATATAGTAGAAAGCTTGTTGATCTGATTGAACATAGTCATTCTGCAAAAACCAGCCCAATATGTGTTGGAATCAAAGCTAACATATACATTTTGCACTCGAGCCTCAAGACAATCATATATGCATGGATCATAAATAACACTGCCATAAGTAAAATGTCAATCATTATGTAAAGATTAAAAAAATCCTTACATCTACTCTAAGTTTGCAGCCCAACTCATAGAGTGCATCTTTGTTACCCATTTCAGCAGCTTCTACCAATAAAGCAGCTCCTCTGATATGCATGAAGAAGAAAATTGCATAAATGCCATGTACATTTGTATTGTTCAAAAAAAAAAAAAGAGTAAGTCTGAAACTTGTTTAAATGTTCATAGACCAATTATTGGGTAACCATTACCCCATCCCGAAGCCCGAAATTATTCCATTTTTATAAGAAGCTCTAAAAACGTGCATGTCAAATGAATGTTTAGAAGGGGCAAGAAGACTAAATTAATGACAAAGAAGTAAGCTCTTACATAGCTTTGCATGCACCAGGGACATGATATTTCAGGTGAAGTTTAGACAACCAGTATCTTGCATGGCTATTTAAGTTATCAACCTCTAAAGCCAACTCAAAGTTCTCCTTCGCTGTCTGTTATAACATCATGAAAGAGTTTACTATTAAAAAAATGATATTGAGCGGCTCAGCCAAAAATGATATACATGAAATCCCTGTACGGAAAGAAAGACCAATAAGCAACAATTCTTTTATTTATTTATTTTTTTTGGTTTGGGGGAATCAAACAAAAAGTTCAACAACAACAAAAAAAAAAAGAATCTCAAGTTGCATCCAGTTTAATATGTTTGCTGTAGAATTCCAGACATTGCGTAGTTTACTTAGGCAAACCCGAACAGCTGTCCCTTAAATGCTAAACTGACAGTTTGAACCCTCGTACAAATTCGTTGGCAGGAATCATGTCAAATGAAATTATTTATCGAAATTAAGATAAACTTCATGGATTTGATGGATCCACATTAAAACAGCAAGTAAACCATAATTGCTAGGGAACATGATGGAGATGCAGACAATTGATTAAAGAATTACATGAAAAAGATCTACCTTTAGCATAGGGATGAGACGCTTGTCTTCACGTTCACAATAGTCTATAACTCTATCAACTTCTCTAAGAGCATTCCAGCCTTTGGCAATAAATTCAGCTGCTTTCTTATTTCTAGTATGCATCATTCTCTGCTTTGGAGAAAAAATATATGAGACAAACAATTCCATTCGCGATAAATGCCATATGCATGTAAAAAGCTTACTTGAGGATTGAACTGGACAAAATTAAAGCCATTCTTTGCATGCACCCCCTTTGAAAGAAGTGATCTCAGCATTTTACCTGCTCATTCACATAGCAAACAGGAGGGAGAAAAAAGCAATCAAAACCCAAGCATAGCAGTAACAAACAGAACCAGTCATACTTGTCATTTCAAATGCCAACAACAAAAAATCCATCCAGCAGCAGAGAACCATCTGCCATTTTTCCAAAACGGAATTCTTACAACACAATATTCACGCTTGCAACGAAACACAACAGCGCCTCTCGCTAACTTCTCTTACTCAATGTCAAGAGATGCCCCAACATGTGATATTTATTCATTTATTTTTAATTCAAACATCTACATTGTTTTCCAGCTGAGAGAAGTAACTCCTACGGGCAAACTGCTCAGTAAGGCATAAACACAAACACATAGTGTGCGTAAACAGACTTCCAAACCTAGACCACCAGCAACATTACTTACTGTAAAATTTCTCCTACCGATTTTAAAACGGTCAAGTTCAAGTAATCACTTCATGCATACTAGCTATTGAGCGTTTGAGCACTTCCATTGATTAGGGGTTGATGATGGATAATAAGCAGTCACTCCTCATAAAGAAACTCAAATTTGGGGTTGATCAATTTATTCTAAGGATATACACTAATGGGCGTAATCAAACATGTTAACGGGCAGATTGGCCGAGTAGGTCAGCAAATATGCAATTCAAGAGAATAGCATACAGAAAACAGACAATCCAAAGACTTGAAACCAGAATGACTTCAAATTTCAAGGAAAGCAGAAGGGTCTCAGACCACCTCTTAGCTGTAGACAACCTACTCCTTAATTCGAAATGAATTGAGGAATGGAAGGAGCATACCTGATTTTTCAAACAGAATCTGTTCGTCTCTTTCGACTTTCTAGCTTTGCTGTGACTTAGACGGTGGAAAAAGCAACGATCGAATTGGAGGCAGGTGGGGAGCTGCAGCTGACGGAACGGCGGAGTGGCGGCGCTATCGTGAGGCGAAGAAGGCCGGGAACAGGAAAAGGCAGGACATGAGGTCTTTTCTTCTTGTTGGATTTAGAAATTTTTTTGGGAGAAGAATTGAAGGCAACTATGACAGAATCCTCTGATATCAAACTGGATTCAACTCCAATTCTGACAGCCCATTTCTACGGACTCTTATACGTTCAAAAAATATTCTAAGCAATGGTAAAAATTTCTTTCGTTATTAGTCCAATTTTTTCCGTGTTGTTTTTAGTTCAATTTCTTGTTTGGGACGAGGATAATTTTCCCTGTGGAAACATAATTAATCATAAAACCACCCTCTTGAGCATGGATTATTGATTGAATAACCTTCCATAGTTTCCAGGTGACATCTAAGATGAGAAGCAGAACTGAACAATAAAACAGACAAAACCATATTTTCCACCAATCTACTTAAAAGCCTCTATATAGAAGAAGCACAAAATATGGTACAATGAAGTTTTTCCAAATGTCAGTTGCGCAGAAGAAAAATCAAAATAGCCCTAGAAGAATGTAACATCACTACACCCAATCCTACAAATGACATTATTTCATAAGGAAACCTAAATGGGCACTTCCATCTTTACAGGCACACTTGTACTCTCACTTGGTTCATTCTTCATCCAGTTCTTTAGGCATATAAGGGCCTCCAATGTCTCGGGTCGCAACGAACTTTTATAGCTATCGATCTCTTTCGGGACGGTATCAAACACCGCATCAGCAGCAACCGTGCAGACTGGAATAGACAATATATCGCGAGCCATCTTTGAAAGAGTTGGGTACTTCATCCTGTTCAGTTTCCACCACCCAATCACGTCAAATTCGTGAACACGCGGCAACAGGGACTCCTCCAAGTACTGATCCAGTTCTGTCTTTGATTGCTGGCTGGTCGTCTCCATGATGTAGACGTCAAAATCTGTGAGCCCCAGACCATTAGACGATATTCCTCCTTGGGAATCCTCAGTCTTTTGAGTCCCATTATTTGCTTCTTCCATGTAAGTGGGGGTCAGAGGTAGTGGCAGAGCAACATACTCATGGAAAAGTTCATGAATTCCCTCATCAACAGTTTTCACATAAGAGGCAGACTCTTCACCGTAGATTTTCGAAAAGCTAAACTCAACCAACTTCATCTTGAACCTGGGATCCATGACCACAGCAATCGCCAAGATAAAGCAACAGCTTCTCCAGTACTTGTCAAATTTTTCTTGCATCAAACTAGTGAGGCCACAAACAAAAGGATCATCACTTGCTGCAGCACGAGCAAGCTCCAGTTGGATCTTCCATGCCTCATGGAAGAATGTGTTTGTTGTCGGAACAGTTGAGCTTGTCAGGAAATTAGCAGTTTCAAACAGAGGTTTCAAGTATGTGCATAGAGTTTCCACCTTCTTCCAGTCCTCCAATGACGGAGCATTTTTGTAGTTATTATCTGCAGTATCCAAACATGAAAACACTTCTTTCAGCTCTGATGCAGCCAGCAGCATTTCATACGTGGTGTTCCACTTAGTCAAGTCATCAATGGCAAGACTTTTTGTGCTGGGCACTTGAAGTTGGTGCTTCACCCCGAGGAATTTCTCCTCATGCAACTCCGAGGTTTTGACATACTTCACACTATCTCTGACTTTCTTGATAGTGTCCTGCATAGAAGTGAATGCATCTTGCACTATGCTGCTCAAACTCTTCGCTAGACAATTCCCAAGCAACAACTGGCCACTAAGCACAAGTGGATTCTTCACAGAGAGTAAAGCTCTCAAGTTATCAACTGCAGCATCACTCAATGATTGATTAATGGTTACCGAAAACAACTTCCCTCCCATGCTCCAATCATTGAGGCATGCAGAAACCGCATGACTAAAAGCAGTGTCAGAGTCAGGACAGGGCACCATGACAAGACTCAGCAGTTTCCGGTGCATTTTCCATTCACTATCAATAAAGTAACCGGTTAAAAAGACATAACCCAGTGTACGACAAGAAGACCACATATCAAGGGTGAGAGAGATACGCCCTGGTGTTGTTTCAATCAACTTCTGAATTGGAATTTTCTCGTTCAGGTAGGTAGCCACCAAGTCTGCCTGGACAGCATTGAAATTAACCATATCGAACCGCGGCTGTAGACTCTGGACGAAAGCAACAAAGCCTGGATGCTCAACAATATGAAGGGGGTAGTCATGCATGATTATCATCTTAGTAAACTCATTACGGCAGCGCTCAGAATCAAAAGAAATCAGTGGTACTGAGGTTGTTCGATAACGACGCCGTGGCGTATCAGATCCAGCGCCAAATTTAGAAGGTGCACTAAATGGGCTTCCAAGATTTCTTTCCTGATTGCGAAGGACAACAGGGCAAGATCCCTTGGCAATATGACGTTTGAGGTGACTGGTCCCAGCCACCTTGGTCCCAGTACTGTATGCAAACGATTGCTTGCACTGTTTGCAACAAGCCCTTCTGCAACCATCGCCAACAGTTTCGATAGTGAAATGTTCCCAAACAACGGACTTCTTTTTCCTACGCTTGTTTGGCTGCGTTGTCCCCTGTCCAGCAGCAGCAGAAATGATTTGCTGCGATGGTGGCATTATTTCTGGTTTTTGTTCAACAGGTACCATCTCATGGCTGCCAACAGGAGTATGCATATCAGCCTCAACAGGCACCATCTCATGGCCAGCAACAGGGGTATGCATATCATTCTGGACAGGAGCATGCATGTCAGCATCCACAGACACCAACTCATTGCCAGGATCGGGAGTATGCATATCGGCCTCAACAGGGACAATAGTCATCTCACTCATATCAGTCATACCATGAACATCGCCAACTTCAGGCACAACATCAGCCATGGGTGTATCAGTAGTAGGGGTTGCCATCTTGACTTAACAGAACTTCAGTATTATTAATGCACCTCACAAGCGCTCTAAAAATATGAGCTGCATAATGAGAAACATAACTCACTTGGGTGAATAATGAAAACATTAGACAGACACAATATGAAAGCAGAAAGACCAAGGTAGCAACTTTATCATTTGAGACTTACATAGAACTAACAAGAAAAACTTCACATAGAAAAAAATGTATCAGCAGCAACCATTGGTCAACTTGGAACAAAATTTGAAATTTAGACCCAATCCAGAAACAAAAAAGAAAGAGTGTTGGTGTTCATCAATGGACCACAAAATGTTTTCAGCATAATTAACAAGAAGCCAGAATTAAATATTATTGTGTTGACCAAAAAGGAAAGAACTAGTACAAGGTGGAGGGCCCAAAAGCCAGAGTTGAACAACAGTACTGGTATTCAAATCTAGAAGAAGTACCAAGATAAAAAGGAAAACGGAAGACAAAACTGGTCAGAGAAAACGTAAGCTGGATCTACCCACCTTCAGCACGAGAGATGGGCTGTCCCTGATAAATTGTTTACAAACAAATAAGGTTAAAGGACGAATGGAATCTCAGCCCAAAGTACAATGTTAAAAAAAAGCTTCGAGAAAGAGAAGTTGTCCTGTTGTCCTGAGAGAATAATATAATTGCTTTTTTTAATACATGACCGAAAAGACCTTGCCCAATACATGGGCTAAAGTGTAGGCCCGTTACTAAAGGAAGGGACAGGGGTAGAAATGACAATTTGTTATAAACTTTGGCTGGGCTAAAACAAGTCAACCACCAAAAATAGAAGCAAAAACAGATCTAACAAGTTTTCAGATGGGCTTTCAGAGAAAGGGCGAACAAAATATCAGAAGGAACACAGCCCAGAGAATTACCAAACATCAGAAAAAAAATTGAATTTCCGTTCCAGTACATAAAACCCCAGACAACTTGGCTCATGTTTTGAAATTTAAATACCAGCAGGTTGTGAACAAACCGGGAAACTCAACGAAAGCCAACAGAATGTAATTTAAACACAGGCAAAGTCAATATTGAAGGGATAAATGCAACTTCAGAACCCAGACTGAAAGAACAAAAACACAAGAAAAAAGAAAGAGAGCAAATGAAACATAACAAAAGAAAAGGAAGAAGCTTTGCAGAGAAAAAAAAAAAAACTCATATTCACTTCAACATCTATATACCCATAAAAATGAATTCTAATCCACCGAGAAGAGAACACAGATCAGAAAGAAACCACAAGCAGATAAGAGTCAACATATCACAGCGGCGAAGAAACTGAAAAATCCAAAATAAATCAAGGGAGAGCTCCATACCTGTAAAATCAGCTAAAGCTGAATAAAGCCCAGAAGAAAAGATTCGATTTTGAGGCAAGCCCGGTAAGAAAAAAGGTCTAATTCGACGGATCTAGACCTCAATCGGTGAATCGGAGAGCTCCAGATCTAGGGTTCTGCAGAAAGGGGGGAAGAGAGAGAAAGGGGCCGGAGAGGGAGAGAGAGAGAGGAGAGAATTGGGCTTGAACCCGTGAGATCCAAATTGGACTCTTTAATTTTTTTCTTTTGGGGTTGGTCAGTTTGTAGTCAGGACTAAAAGAGAAAGAGATAAGGTTAACTTAAGGGGGGTTCATTGGGTGAAGGGCGGGGGAACGAAAAAAATTAAAGCGCGTAATGCATATTGGACTTTGAGGTCCAATTTATTGTTTCGGCATACGTTATTTTTTCACGAGTTGCTGGCTTTCAGTTCACTGTGTGTGTGCGTGTTTTTTTTCTATTCATCAAAATTGAAATACAAAAACGTTTAGCAGAGGCGTGTGAAAAATAACACCAAATGTGTGAGGTGGCTATTTTGGATGGTTTTGGGCGGACCACAGCCCACCAAACCTTTAAGCCTTCAAGGTGGGTTAGGGTTAGGTGGACTTTTACAGGGTAAAGAATAGAAGGTGGTAAAGAAGGGTTAAGAGGGGGGAGTTATATTTCGTGTACGTGTAGCCCACTGGAGTTATCGTGTGGACTATATAATTGTGGTAGGCCCCTTCATTTTTAGGGGAAGAATCTTTTTTTCCTTTTCATTAGTTTGAATTTAGCCCACTGATGTTTATGTCACTCTTCAGAAAAATGCACCCTTTTTTTTCTCTCTGATCCATTTGGTCTTCCTGTGTTTCTAATGTTTATCTTGTTCTTCGGCTCCATTGGATACACAATCAAGAGGGGCAGGCAATTCATTCATAAATTCATCTAATTTGCCTATGTTGTTGTATTCACGTATAGCAACATAAGCAGGTATGGCATTTCCTTTTTTCAGATAAAAGTACATTTCATTAGGTATGGCATTTCTTTTTTCCAGATAAATGTACATTTCATTTCGTATTTACTGAAAATCGTCTAATTATTATTATTTTTTTTTTATTGTTATTGAGTAACAATAAATATGACGTGAGACAGAATAAAACAAGCATTAGTTCTATTCATAGCCTTAGTCACAATCATTACTGTATTCATTCCATTCCAATGAAAATAATCTTAAGAGTGATTAAGACTAGCAATCAGCTTAAAAAATATTATTTCAAAAGAGATCGTATTCATTCCATCCCATACACTTACTAAACATGTAACTAAGCTTAAAAAATAGTATTTCAAAAGAGACGTTTTGTTTGGCAATAAGCATTCATATTCGTTGACTAATCCATTACATTTTGTGTTTTAAAGCCACCGAGAGAGATAGGCTGTGTCCCTAACGCCAGATCAATCCTTTTAGAGACTTTTACATTTTACCTTATGAATTTTTTACTTCTCTTTGTTCCGCCACATTTTGGAAAGACTTTGCAATTGTAAAAGAGACTACGTTTACATGATCGTATTCCTCACATTGGGAGAGAAAACTTTTCCCCTTTGTATACTACATCTGGCTAAAATTATACAAACAGAAAAGATGCAGAAAGCAATGATACAGTCAACTTTTTAAATATGTATGTCTCACTAGAATGAATAAGACACTTTGTACTACAAACAAAAGATGAGTAAGAGGAGTCTACTCTAATAGGAGTATACTTTAATCAGGTATGTTTATCTTTCAAAGGTGGCACCTCAAGATTTCTTAAGCTTTTCCGCTTCAAGCCTTCTCAACGCCGTAGAGCTCAGCTTGTCTCCTGAAGATCCTTCAGAAACTAAATCGACGGCTTCAATCTACAGGAATGAAATGAAGTCCTGGGTTTGATTTTGTTGTTCTCCCTGATTGCAATGATAAAATAATATAGGTAGTTCCAAGCAGTATTACAAACCTTGAGGTCTGAAAGGCCTCTCTCAGTACGCTTCTTATTAACAGATAATCCACCAAGCAATGTCTCCTTACTGTCATACAACACATATCAAAAGAAAGTCATCAAAGGACTTCCTTCAAGATAATAGGAAATGAAAAATCAGTAAAATTTATGAACCCTCCCAACAAACTGTCAGTGAACGTTTAAAGAACGAATAAAAACTCCAAACCACAAGCAAGATGGGTATTGGGTTCTAAGTGTGAAATTAACCACAACCAACACAAAGATTTTCCACGACAGTTTCAGATTGGCAACATATTTTCTGCCAAATTACCATGAAAATTTCATGAGACACATTTTTTCCACAGAAAACGTTTCCAGCTTTAATTCACACAAATCTCTTTTTTGAATTAAAAACAAATAAAATCAAGCTCGGGATCACATAAAACTTGAGCCTGCGGATTCCAGAAGACAGAGTCTATCTCAAATATTGCCGAACTAACAGGAAAAAAGAGGTTTCAAAAGCAAAAGAAAACACAAAACCGTTTTACAAGGAAAAGAAAAAAAAAAAACAAGCTTAAGTGAGGATCCAACCTTACAACAATTGCCTCCAAATTCTCATCAACAATTGAAGGACCATAGGGATCCACTGTAGGTTCTACTTGCACCACCAAATATGGTTTAACAGACTGAAAACAAATTTGCAGGACAAAAAGAGAGGAACAAGTTACAATGACACTTGGATGATAAGTATTTCAGCAATTGTTCAATGCACCAAAACAAACAACATTAGCTAGCAATTCCATAGATAGCAATTAAAAGCACATGCATCTTCACTTAACTGTGCATACATCTACACAAGATCCAAGCATCCAGAATTCCAATTGTGAACAACAAGTATGGTAGATATCTAACGTAGCAGTGACAGCTTGACAGCAAACAACATACCTCAATAGTTGAGAAACTTATGTAGCAAAGCAATTTGTCAGGACACAACCACCCTAGAAATAACATTTGAAGATGAATTGTTGGATTTACTTACCTTGATGAATTCCGAAACATTTGTTTTCCTGATCTCAGTAGGTTGTATCAAGTCAGCAAACTGCAAGATGCAATCCAACAATAAGGTAAACAAGAAGCTACTGAATTGCCAACAGCTGAGACAACGAAAAATATATAATGCAGTGACAGCCGATCATCAAGCACATACCTGTTTTTTTGCCAACATGGGACCACCATCACAAATGCCAATCACAATACGACTCCTAGCCAACTCAGCAGCTACCTGCAGAATCAGGTAACCATGCTCCTCATCAGCAATCAATCACGTACGTTTAAACTTAAACTAAAATGATCCTTGGGGCTTATAAAAGAATCCTCATTTAATGATCATCGGAATTTTTCTTGTTATAAATGAGAGTGGCACATAAGGAAAAAGAAGCAACCTTGAGGAACTGGCGGTGACCATAATGTAGGCGATCAAAGGTGCCACCGAGAACCACCGCGCTGTAAGAATTGGGGGGGCGACATGGCTGAATTTGATGAGGGTTCATCCATGATCGCCATTTTATCCCCAATTCAAAAACCTCTTACTAGAGATTCAACATAGAAGTCTCCTCCCAAATCAAAGGCAATCCTAGAGGAAAAGATAAACACATTATCGACTACTGGAAACTGAGCTTTGACTACAGATATCAAACAAAACACCTCGTATCGACTACTAATAATTATTATCCTCTCAGACGAGCATTCAAAGTTCGATCAACATGGATATGAAACTGACACCGTGGTTAAACGAGTCAAGAAGTATTCTAGCAAATCATGAACCAACCAGAGAAAAGGAACAAATTTTGACAAAGCACAGAGGTTTTCGCACTAACAAACGCATTTTATTTTTCAAACTCAAGTCAAGCCCCTTTTCCTATTCTAATTAATTAAGTAGTGTTGATATCAACAGCACCAAGACCATCACCATCCTCACCAATATAATGTTAAGACCAATGTTTAACAAAGAAAACATTCCTTTGCACCTTTGTTTTTCCTCAGTCAAATCAGTACCACAACAACAATTCACATTTACCTCCTTGATCACTTCCAGAAAAAAAAAAAAAAACAAACAAACAAAAAACCTTCCAATCTCACCATGAAACCCTAATTCAAATTGGCAGACAATCCTAGATAAAAATTAGCCACCGAAACAATGAAAATTAAGAAAAGATAATCCTAAGGACTGACGGAACAGAAGCGAACCAAATCACAATCCAATCAATTTAATCAATAAGCGAACCAAATGAATTCAATCGATGAGCAAACCAAACCCAATTTACCTGCTATCGAAACAGCTGAGGCAGTGATCAGGCGAACAGAAACCTGGATTGTATTGGATCCAGAACCGGAACGATGATTTATATAAGGGGCCAAAACGTCATCGTTGTTGACCGCCTGGTTATTCCATTAAGGAAGCCGGATTTGTGAGTAAAAAATTATCCTCGTTTCTCGGTCTCATGTTTTGTGTCCATTTCATTGGTCCTTTGGACTGATAGAACTTGGAAGGCCTTATGGTCCCGTTAGAATTAGTATTCAATTTCATGGGCCAAGCCTGATGTTTAAAATTTAGACTAATTCGGCCGAACTGCTTACGCATATGTGATGGTGATTTCTGCTTATGATTGGTTTTTAAATATGATTCTGAGTTGTGCCGGTTCGGCATTTTTATGTAAACGGAATTGATGATAAAATAGAAAGAATATGCTTGTTACGGCTAGTCCACTAATACTAGCTCAATATTTAGAGCATTTTTAATAATATCTTCTTCTTTTTTTTCCTTTTTTTTTTTCTCTTTCCCTACTTTTTATTTTCATCCAATTTTCTTAAAACTACAAATTAAACTTTGTCATTAGGATTTTTAACATCCGATCAATATTTTTTTAACGGGTTTCTTTATCTTGTCAGAGAACCAGTTAATGACGGTGTAATGTCCAAGTTTACCCCTATTAGTATATCTACGTATTGGAGACGCCAAAACTTTTTTTCTTTTTTTTTTGGTTTTTTTTCCACTTGCCAATGAGAGTATGTGACATATACAAACTGCAACTCCAACAATGAAAGTAAAATAAGTGCCTTAGCTTCAGACCATTTGTTGTGGTTTCTGTTGGAGCTGCTTCCCAAAATTTCCATTACTCATAGAGACAAAATCTGATAGGAAGGAAACCAACAATGACAGTTAATTGAAATGAAATTGATGCCTCCCACTTTACTAACAAACAAAAACAACTCTAAATTCCAAATAAGAACCAAAAAAGAGGAAATGTTGAATCATGGAAATGGAAGTGCAAAAAAAAAAAAAAAAAAAAGCAAAGCAAGAAAGAGAGGTTGAGGTGAGATGAGTTGGTGGAGTTTTTTTGGGATGGGAAAGACAAAGTCGTGGGTTAAATCAAAACGACAGTGAGCTTTTAGGTTATTGTCTTCCGGGCGGGCACTTTGTGTTTGGAGCATATTTTTTGCGCATAAACTTCCTTTGATATTACTGACAAAAGATTGTGTACATTATTTTCCATGCATTTGTCTCCCAAAGGTACAGGTACTGATCTGCTTCTTCTGCTCCGTTGTCTGGGCCGCAATCCCACCTAGTTAACCTACAAACCCAACTCCTACTTGGCCCGTTTTCATCGTAAATCACCCAATTTTTTTTTTTCACTATAAATAATTGGACACAGTGAAAATCAAACACAAGTTCCATTTTCCACGAATTGAACTACAATACGATATAATACAAATTGATACTCTTTCAATCACCATTTCTGCATAAAAAGCAGCAGTAAAATTGAAGATAAAATGAACTCAGTACATCCATTAAGTAGGCTTGATGTGGATTGTCATCGTAAATTGACAAATCATTTACCAATTTATTTACTACTCTCTCCATTTCAAAATGTAATTCACTTTAAACTATGCACGTAAATTAAGGAGACAATTATTCAACAATTAATTTATGTGTTAAATATCTGTTTTACCCATCATTAATTATATTAAAACTATAAACAAGACTAAATGAAAATAGATTGGCATAATTTATTGAGGGTAAAGTTAGAAAAAAATTCATTAATTTACCTAAAATTTGTAAAACGACCTACATTTTAAAAAATCCCTCCAAACCTAAAACGACTTATAAATTGAAATGGAGGGAATACTTAAATACATCATATTGTGAGAATTCATTTGAAACTATCAATGTTTGCCTTTTGTCAACTTTTAAGTGCCTTTTTTTAAAGCGTATAGATCAGAGAGAGATCTAAAGTGCCATATTCACTATCCCCGTAGTAGATTCTGTCGCCATGCACGAAGTACGTAGCATAAGCCATAAGTCAATCGGGTTAATTTATTAAACAATTATTATTGACTTTTTTTTTTAATTATTAGTATTACCAAGGGAAAAACTCGTACTGGAGTTAGACTGTACAAGAAATTCATGACTTGAACCCAATCATGGAGTATTTGCCCTCCTTTTTTTCTTTTCTTTTTTTCTTTTTTTGTTGGAGAACCAAAATATACTACTTCAACTTTATACTACGCCGGAAATGCTTCAATGACTTCAAGAAATTTGCTTGCCATACTTTGCAAGATTTAAATTGGACCAAGTTTTTCCCCCTTTACTGTTATAGACTTATAGTCGAAGAACGTCGATCCTAAAGATTTGTTAATGCAATCCGATTTAGCAAATAAAACTTAATCCAAACAATCAAATAGCGATGATATATAATGAGAGTAAATGATTAACCGATAAAACACTAGTACATTGGATCTTCCGTTCGAGAGCTAAATTTTGATACTTCCTCTGTCCCTCCCCCCCTCCCAAAATCCAGTTTTAGTTTTGAGATTTGTACTAATTCTAGTACAAATTTGAAAGCTCAATATATACTCTTTTTGTAGAACATACGGAGTATTACAAATCGAGAAAAAATGTGGGAATGCATGTAGTCGAATTTACATATCCATAACTTTATTTTAAAAAAAAATCCTTACATATATAACACTAGTTATATATCATAGGTCCACCGTCTAAGTACAACAGAAATGTAAATTCTTTCTTTTTTAAAAGAAAAAAAAAATATTTCAACATACTCCTAAATCGTAACCCAATGTCAAACGAAATTGAGTTAAAAGTCGTACTACCCGGTTAGGAGTACTATTGAGAAAACATTCCCATAATGTAATAATAAGGTCATTAAATACATATACGACCAAACTAGTAATTAATTATTTGTCATCAGAAGCCAGAAGGGCACCTTAGACAAACTAATTAAAAGCCATACATACGTGTCCTTGAACACTGAATAATATATGGCGATATATCTCAAACATGACAGAGCATTTTTGCCCGTTTAATAAATTAATTAACCATCATCATCATCTAACAGGCTGACTTTTGGTAAATGTCTATACTTTTTTTTTTTTAATAACAAACAAATTGTAGATCATGAGCAGAGCAGATTGGTTGGATTGAGGTGGATATATATGCCCTGAGCAGGCGGCAGGCCGGCTTGCTTTTGTTATAGCAGCCGGAGGGACGGATAGATCGAATACCGTCCTTACACAGTCTTTGTACGGTCTTTTGTTAATGTTTTCTAGCATATTCGAATGTCGATCGGGACAGTGAGTCCTTGCATCTTACCCCCTCCGTCCCACAAAAATAGTCCAGTTTAATAAAAAAATTTGTCTCAAGAAAATAGTCCAATTTCACAAAAGTCAAAATTAATTAAATTGAAATAAATTAAATATGCAAAAGAATAGTGGTAAGGAAAACGAGGTCCACTTACTTTGATTTTCATTTTTTTTTTTAGTTTTTTCTCATTTTTTCAAATAATTATATCTTTGAATACATGAATAATTAAAAAATGTGTTATATATCAAATTAATTTACATAACGAGTTCTTTCCATCAAGATCTATTGTCAATATTTTTTGAGATAAAAAGTTTGATCAAATTTAAGTTGTAAAATAAATGCATATGTAATTAATTTTTATAGAAATAACTAAAAAGGGCATTAGTGGAAGTTAGGGGCATACAATGAGTTGTACATCGGGTATATTGATCAAATTAAAAAAGTTGTACATTTTCAAACTGGACTATTTTTTCAAGGACGGAGGGAGTACTAAATTTATTATTGTATTATTATTATTATTATTGATATTATTATTATTATTATTTTGCTTCTTTGGCAACGTTGTACACTGTTTCTTCTTCCCCCTCTCAACATTATTGCTAGCTATACCGTACCCCAAATGGATCGAGCAAGCAAAACATTATCTTTATGGAATCTTTTTTTTAAAATTTATTTAATTTTAATCCCAACCAAACACTATGGAGAAAAAAGCAAGGCAAAAAAAAAAAGGAAAAAAGTGGGAGTTTTAATTAATTACTGTCAAGCTTTTGTGTTTTGTCTCCGAATTTGCATCCATAATGGCTTTGTTAATTTGATTCTTAACATAAAGCTCTAATTTAGGTCAGTATAAAACTAAAAAGGCGATCACTACAAAATTTAAAGATGAAAAAA